GGTAAATTCTGTTTGTATATATTCTCAATTTTGTCCACATGTAAAATTTCATAATTAAATAATTTACTTAACATATACAGTAACACACTTTAACATACAAATGACTTTTTAAGTTTTTTGTTTGTCAAAAAAAAATTCTGAGCCACCCTCATCCCCCTGTCTGAAATTTCTGGATCCAACAATGAGAACAGCAGGAGGCCCGTGATTAGTGATGTTGATAATGGGAGCATCCCCAGGTTGCTCAAATTCAAATATCTTCAAATCAAACCGGGCCTAAGGTGGGGTCACAATGGGCGATCAAAGTTTTACATAGGAATATATGGGAAATTTCTTTAATAATTATCTTCCCAAACACAACAAAGCAATGATTAGTCATTTTTATATGGATTGATTGATTGATTATTGTTGTTTAACGCCGAGATGGCAATATTATAGCCAAATTAAGTGTATATGACCATTTTTGAAGTTTTTGGTTTCTCTGGCCATATTTATATGGAACATTGCCATGCATTGTCATGCGACATGTTCTGATGGACAACAATATGCGTAGTGAGGGTAGGTACACATTGTTCCCGGCGACAATATGAACAGGACGACAAAATGCACCGTCACAATCGCGATGCATGAAATAGCATTCGAGACACGTCAATGTGATATACATACCAATTACATTCACAAAACTACCAAAACAAAAAACAAAAAAAATCTATAAGTAACAATATTTGAGGGGCGACAAAATGTACAGTGAGGGTGAGGCACATAATGTCGCCAGCGACAATATGTACATGTGTTACTTTTCAGTCGGCGTCAATATGTATCGATGGACGACAATATGTGCAGTGAGGGTAGGTACATATTGTCGCCGACGACAATATGTACGAGTTATGGTGATTGTTGTATACTGAAACGCAAAAGAAACGCAACTAGCAGTAATCTACAAATATTTGAACCTTTTAACTAATGATTTTCAAAACTGGTTACAGTTAAGTTAAACTCGATTTAAAAGCATCAAAGATTTGATAACAATGTTAAATGATTACCTTTTAAATTTAGAAAGTAACACATGACTGTTAAAACACCCCCCTTCCCGGCCATTCAATTATAGCGTGGAAGACTGTCATGCACAGCAATTGCAGCTTGATTTCCACGATGCAGTAAGTTCATCAATCTCGGGATCTGAGCGAAAAAAATATTCTTTGCCATTTTTAAATGTCCGTTTTTCAGATGATGAAGTCGAATTTTCTCTAACCTAGCGCAGTGTAGTAACACTTTGACTTCCGGTCCACGGATATCATTCATGCTAATGATACGTATGAGCCTGTTGAAGCGTGTTGTCGGGCATTTTTGCATCTGCAATTCTCCATCACCTTTATTTTCAGCTTTTCCAGCTAGAGCATTTGAAATGCGTACTTAAGTCATTTTCAGAAAGCCTTGGCATCTCTTCCGGAAACGAAAGGAGAATTTATTTTGCGAAATATTACTGCATTACATATGATTTACAGATACAAACCCTTAAAACCCCATATTTTTGTCAATTTTTTTTTATTAAACATGCAATTTTTTATTTCTGTTCAGCGGGCTCAAACTTAACTTCCGGTTATGGCATGAAAATCATTCAACCGTTAAATTATCGATACTTACAATGTTGGCGATATCCGTACTTTTTAGATACAAAATTATATCCTTTATATGATTTTCCCCTCTAAAATAGGATGTTGCGTTTCTTTTGCGTTTCAGTATATAAAATCTTGAATAATTAAGCATAGGCTAGAATATAAATTTCGCGAGCAGAGATCTTGCGTAAATAAGCAAAATAAAGTTTCTGTTAATGAAAAAGTTAAAAATTACAGGTACATCATTAATGTCTTTATGAAATTTGGAGATAACGAACAGTATTCAAGCTCAAAGTCCATTTAAACAATACAAATCGGGAGCAGAGCAAACACGGACCTATAAAAACATCAGACGTAGGATCAGGTGCCATGGAAGATTGAGCATCCCCTGCAGACCGGTCACACCTGCCGTGTCATGATCGGGAAAAACGGGAAAAAATCCGTAGACAATTCAATATGTAAATAATGGCCGAACAATTAATATGAAAAACGTCAGTCAGCATTTAACTTAATGAAAGGTTGTATTTGTTGACAAGGTCATTGTATCAACCATAAAACTTGCCAAATGATGACCCCAAACGAGACTGTTGATATCCTTGTTTCATCAACTTGTTTGACAATAGCTTGCCTCGTTTCAGAAATTGTTCATACGTAGAGCATGCTCTTGCGTATAGAATCAACTGGGAGACAAAAACCTCATATGCAGGTGATAAGGGTATATATTGCTACATAAGTAAGAGAAGATGACTATTGAAAATATGAAGTCATCACGTTTATAATAAAGCTTTGTTAGGTTACCATTAAAGTTTTTGCCTAGTAAATATCCAAATATGAAATATATGTGTCAGACTCTGTGGCATCTTTTAATTCAAGCTCACTGGGATATATAGAGTCGACATGTGGATGGAATTAACTATTGTTATTTGATAATAAGTCGTCGACATATCTAAATGTCAAGTTGAAAGCCACAGCAAGTGTTTTCTTCTTCTCGTGTAGAAGTTTTTGAATAAATTCTGCCTTAATATGAATACAAAAACAGGTCTGCTAGTAAGGGGACGCAATCGGTACCCATGGTAATTCCAACATATTGTTGGAAAACCTTATCTCCAAAAACTACATAAATATTGTCAATCAGAAACTCAAGAATATTTTTATATCAACTTCAGAGTACTTGTTTGTATATAATCAGAACGTTTATTAAACAAAATAATTTGCAAATCACCAATGACAGGGTTAGTATATTTACGAGTTACATTTTTTATTGAAAAAGCAGCTGTCTATGATGTCCAAAAAAACTGGACTTTAATTTATCGTGGGGAATGGTTATTAGTAGTTATTAATGGACTTTTGCGAGAACTGACTTTTACAGTCGATGGCTTACTTTGACATTTAAACCTGCCTTATGTACGGAGGCACGGAATTGATAATAGACAAGAAAACCATTATAGTGGTAATAGGTATGGTGGTTAGGTGCAACTTACATGATTTACCAGTATGCAATCAATGCAAGAGATGATGAGAGGCAGAATTACATACCTTAAATTACCTTATTCGTGAGGTTAGTACCTCCTTTCAACTATTTTTTCTGAAGGAATGAAATAAGGAAGAAAAAACATTGGAAGAAAAACTAAGTAAGGGTAGGGTGAATGCCGATCCCTTCCTAGACAACGTAATATTTGCTTTGAAATGGCCCATTATCGTCGTTTAATTAACTCTTGAGCTTAATGTTTATATTGCAAAAGAGTTTCCGTATAATGCCCTAATGTATTTAAGTAAGTCGTCATTTGTAAAAGTCAGCGCTTCTCGCAAAAGTCCATTAGTAACAAAATTAGAATGTATAGCGGGAGATGAAGCCTTTTTGATCTTGCTCGGTACCAAAATGTCATTGAGGATTTTTTTTTCATTTGAAATTACTATGTATTTCATTCAATCAACAAGTGGCAATAATAATGATTTTTGGCAAATCTCCATTTTGAGATACATTTATAGGTACCTAACTAACTGGATCTGTAGCTCTCTGGTTTGTCTGTCCAATTTTTCTCGACCAGAGAGCTACAGTTTTGCAGCTAGAAATCTATCAGTCAAATTATACGACCCAGTGATAGGTTGTATTTGCAAACATCATTTGAACAATCGTAGAATTTTCAAAATGTCGGCTTAAACGAGGTTGTTGTTATCCCTGTAACTAACTTTTTTGAATGTTCCACCAACTTGATCAATACATAGGGCTCACAGCGGGTGTTACCGGTCAACAGGGGATGCTTACTTCTCCTAGGCACCTGATCCCACCTCTGGAATTTCCAGGGATCAGTGTTTATGCTCTGTTCACAGATCTGTATTATTTGAAGTTTTATGCGATCGGTCACTGTTCGTTATCTTCACCTATTTCATTGCAGAAGCCTGTTTCGATTTACAAATTGATCGTCATCAGGGTATCCTCTTGGGTATCAAATGTGAATGACATTTTATTTATTAATGATATGTTTGTATCTTTTTCATGATTAGTGGACAATTTTCTTTATCTTTACTGGATGGATATTCATGGATTATTTTATTAGGACTGTATATTGCACCATGATAAGTGATTAAAAAGTTAGCAGTAGCTACAATGATTAAGTAGTAATTAATATCGCTATGATTTTTTAAGAAATTGGGTCAATCGCTCGATAAAAACAAAATGTTAAAGCGCAATGGGAAACATTTTTCCTGTTTGTTCAAAGTTATACCAAATTCATACGAAAAATGTGGTATAAAGCTTCTATTTGATTTTCTATGACAAGCTTTAAGAACCAAGACGGTTTTACAATTATAATATCATAATTTTAAACGTCTGGATTTCCTGATTTATTGTGATTCAATGATTGTCTTTATTCCCTTTTAATTGTAAAATTTTGATAGAGTAAATCGAAAGTTGTCGAAGGTTTTCACAGTATACTCAGCATTTGCTAGCTTTTTTCTTCTTGAAGTTTCTGACATTTCCAATAATATCAATTCAAAACTGCAAAATTCAACCAGACAGATCGAAGAGCCCAGTGTATATCTGAAGTCTCTTGTGACTTGTAAACGTTACATGGATCTTAAAAGAGATTCTGATACTACTGAAAGTACCTTTATGGCAAAGGAAAACTTTGGTACTTTAAATCTTTTTTTATCACTTCCAAACAGTCCAAAACTATCAAAAAAGAGTTTCCCAAAAATGTTGCCACACATTATTAGAAAATATGTTCTTATTGAAGCAATACTTATATCAATCTTTTAAAAAAAAAAATTTTGAAAAGGAGTGACAAAACAAATTTTTCAACATTTTAATTTGACATTATAATGACTGTATTTGATAAACATCTATGATGTCAAATAAAAAGTTTCAGAAACACATAAAAACATGACGTCAGATAAAACCATCATTTTATATAATATATAGAAATCTAAAATGTACAAAATACAGCATTGGAAAAAAAAAATTCTGACAGCATTTACATTGATAGATCAGCCATATATACACTCCATTTGTATTTACAAATAACAGAACATTATAAAATCCCTCCTATATGGAAGAAATATATATGTATGTGTGTACAGATATATATTCAAATAAATACGTTTTTCCACAATTGCTGATTTTATTTCATACAATAAAAAAATTGTCAACAGATGATTTTTTTTCTTTATCTACATATATGTACAAAAAAGGGACATAATACATGAATACATGTATGTACAGATTTCTTTCAGTGTGATGCTTCAATACAAATTGCTTCATGTTAAGCAATAATGACAATACAGTAACATAACTTTAACCAATACGATAATAAACAATCCAAATACATTAGAAATAAAACAGCATCCGACCAATAAATACACAGCATTTATAAAATTTGGGAAAGGGGGGGGGGGGGGGGTTATCCATCCATTTAGTACTAAAATAAATAATTTCTTTTTCTTCGGAGACAAAAGTGCAATTGAAATTCACACAACATTTTCGGTATTTACTTATGAGTATTATTGTGCTGTTGCCCATAATGTCTACCTTCCACTGCCATAGTTTTGAAGAAACCTGAAAATATGTTTACCCCCTCTTATTTATCTGATTTTGTTGTTTGTTCAAGATCGGATGTCATTTTACTTTTTTAAATTATGATGTTTTTTCAACTTCTAGAAAATTTTGGAACACCAGTGCTGGTCCCTTACGTGAGAATTAAAATAACCTCCTACTGCGGACACTTTCTTTGTTGTCCTTGATGATTTGTAACATTATCAACAATGACTCATTGTACCAAGATTCTTTAAATTAATACTTATCTTAATCTCACAAAATAACAATATTTAAATAAAAATTATATTAAATAAAATATCTATATTCTCAAAATTTCCTAAACGGTTATCAAAAATCAATATGAAAGAATTCTTGGAGTTCAACACAAATAAACAAAAAATTCTCTGCTTGAAAAGTCACAGGATTTTTGAGGGAATAATAATTATCCAATGTTCTCTATAGCAAACTTAATGAAAATTTTCATTGCTATGGCACAGAATTTACCTTTTACATGATGAGGATGAAAGGTTAACCTGGTTTAAAAGATGTATTTCAGAATAATTAGATTCTTTCAAACTTTGTTCTACTGCAGTATGAATGTTATTGTGTCATTAATCAAACTAGAACCTCCCAGACAACAAACACCTGAGAGAAAGACTAGATTGCCATTTATTCAAGTCTCAAAGCCAAGTACCTAACTGGGACTAAAAATTAATTACGGATTTTGTTTTTCCTTAATCATAACTGCTAATAATAAACTTTCGAGGAAGGCTTGGGTGAAACTCAAAAGTTCCTTTAAAAATTATGATCTTTATCTTTGGTAGATTTCATATTACATAGGTATATGATTCTGTGCGCCTTTCAGGTTTTAAAAATTACATAAACGATATGTACTTATTGGCTATTCCTGTCCTATTCATATTGTTATAACCATATGTTAAGTATGATGATAAGATCAGGAGAAGGTCACATGCAACAGAGGAAAATATAACAAGTAAAAAAATTGACTATGTTAGACGGGGTATCAACCAATAATTCAGATAAAATCATAAATCATCATAGGCGGCATGAGAAAAGTATTTAACAAATTCATCACTTCTTAAAATTGATGGTTTTTAAAATTGTAACATTTAAGAAATTCCTTCACATAATATTTTAAGCATTCAAAGCGCCTCTTTTTTCATAAGATTTCTCAGTTTCATTTCACATTCAGCAGGGGAATTTTTTTGTATTAATGTAAATACATAAATTAGCACCATTTACAGACTTCTCTGTTTTTATCTTAAACTTTTCAGATAAAAGAATTTCTTACAAGAAAACTGGTACAATAAACAAACAGATCACATATCAATTGTTTGCAATGTCTGACAACTGCTAAAACAGGTCAATTTCTTACTTAAACCCTGCATACATGTACATATTAATCACGTCAAAATAAAGATCACTCATTCATATAAGCTTGCAGAGAAATTTTAAAAAGGCTCTCCTCCCAAAATAAGTAGAAATTTTGTAACAGGAAAAAAATCTATATCAGAAAAGTGGATTTGAAGTCTTACAATTGGCTCTTCCAACAGAGATTCTGCTAGGTAACTTTATTAGTGTGTGTAAAGAAAAGTTAATACAATAAATAACAAATAAATTCATCTAAAATTAAATAAAGCAAGCAGGACTCTCTGAAGAGAACACATAATGCAGGATGCTTAAATGAAAAAAAATCTTAACATTCAACACTGCCATGAGTATATCATTTGAGCAACACCCTACACTGAGTCATTAACACACTGAAATGATATATATGACGTAACAGTTTTATCAGCTCGTAAAACCCATAAGGGCCTCATTCATTAAATCGTCGTCTAAATCTATGGATCCAGCAGGCGAGCTGTGTTGAATAGATCTGGGTGAAGGGTTTGGAGAAGGTTTCGGTTTGGGAGAAGGTGTGTGTGTTTTCTGACGGAAACTGACCACTGTCACTGGAGACAATTTCTTGTTTTCTTCGTTAAGGTCGATCACACATTTGGGTGAGTTATTCTTGCTGATGTTTTGACGGGGAGATTGGCAATCGATGATCAGATTTTCAGGGCTTCCACCTGAGCTGGCGGGGCTAAGAACAGGCTTTGTAGTGCTTATCCTCGCTTTCCTCCGCACAGACATGTTCTCTATATCCTCACAATTCATTTCGTCAATGGCCACCACACTTTTAGGAGTTGGCACTTTGAACACATCACCTTCCTTACGGACACTCTCTACTGTGGCCGTTTCACCATTCACTTTTGGACTTGCTTTGGGGGATTTTTTACTATTTGTCTGCATAGATAAATCTTTAATTTTGGATTCCATCTCCTCATTCACATCCACACTCTTACCGACTTCATTTTTTGCCACATTTTCCTTGTCGTCCTTATCATGTCTGGAAGAAAAATTTTCTGAAGCACTTTTAAGAAGTGATGCAAATAAATTTCGTGAATTATCAACAATTTTGTAATCCTTGTTTTTATCAATTCCACTTGAGACATCTTTGGTGGGAATACTTTTATCACTGGAGTCTGACTTAAGGTCAGATCCATGTTTTTCTGAGCTACCATTAGCTCTGTCCACACTTTCTAATGAACTCTCTGTTTTCTGTTTGGTTTGCTCTGGTTCATCCACAGAGTTCTGCCTATTAATTTCTCCTCCCAATCCATGAGGCACTTTGGCATTCGTCAGTTTATCTATCACTGCTGAGAGAGAGCTTTTTCGGGGGCGGATCTTGGAATTGGAAGAGGGACAGGATATGGTGGGAGACACCAGAGAGCTGGCAGTTGTCTTTGGTGGTGTTTCCAAGCTCAAAGTTATCGGACTCGTGACTTTGCTAGCTGCCATAACAGACTTGGGTGATTCAGAAGCTTTCGTCAAATTGTTCATGGTCTTACTTGTTAGAGACTGACTCACAACTGGACTATTAGAATTTCTGGAAGATGTCATAGCACTTGACCCTTGCCCTGTAGCTGGTTTGGTGGGGTAGTTACTTGGACTACTCTGTGGGATGGTCTTGCTTGCACTGTTACTAACACTGCTGGAATTGAGCTTGTTGATATTTGGACTAGTACTAGCACTAGGAGGTGTCTTTAATGGATGAGAGGTATTACCTCCAACAGGTGTTCTAGGAGGATTAGAATTAGAGTTCTGTCTGCTCACATTTCCAGGCTTGTTTGCTTGACTTAAGGGTGACTTGCCTGAACTGCTAGGTGATTTGTTGTTGGAAGAATTACTGATGCTTGGAGATCTGTTTCCCAGTTGGTTACCCCTTACACTGGGGGAATTTCCACCAGAAATATTTCCCTTATGGCCGGAGGTCAAATTCACATTACTTTTGGTATTAGCTAAAAAGTTCCCACCTGTTGGAGTCTTTGGTGTCCCCAGTGAACTGGGGGAGTTTTTCAGTCCTCCTTGGAACTGATTCGACACACTGACTTTTGTACCAGTGTGCGAGTTCACAGTTGTTATTTTTGGTGTTCCAGCAACACTTGTTGCCACTGTAGTTGTCATAGTGACAGTTGTGGTGGTCATAGAAACAGTTGTTTTGGTACTGTTCACATTGGATGAGGATGCAGAACTGATTTTGGGAATGCGTGGAAGGCTTGACAGCCCTTTGTCTTTGGGATTTAAGAATGACAAAACAGAATTAAGTGGATTAGTGGAATTCTTGCCAAAGGAAGTAGATGACTGCCCCTTGCTGGATGAGTTCAATGACTTAGAAGAGTTCAAACTGCTCTTACTCCCTGAAAATGAGGGAGAGCCACTTTTCCGTTCACTGGAGTATTTCCCATTTGAGCTTTTGGAAATTCCAGAAGACAGTCGACTGCTTTGGGAGAGCTTTCTCTCCACTGCTGCAGCCTTTTGTGAGGTAGACGAAGAGGAGGCAACATTTTTATTGCTTGGAAATGTTTTCGAGGAACCCCCAAAGGGGAGTGGAGTTTTTGAAGAAGTTGGGGTGGTCACTTTTCCAGGAGGAGGGGTAATTGTTCCTGTTTTAGAATTTCCAGAGGTTAGAATGGACACAGCACCGATCCTACCAATTGTTGTTGAAGTAGGTGTGGATGAACCAGACTTGCACTGTGTGGGTGAGGATGTTGGGGTGGGGGTTTTAGCACTGGTAACAGCAGAACTAGAGGGTATTGCAATCGGTTTTAGCTTGATTTTGGGGGTTTTAGTCATTAATTTGGAGTCTTCTTTACTAACACTAACACTGGACATAGATAGAGACTTGTGGGAATTTTTACCTGACTTTTGACTGTTAACATTTGATTTGCTTTCGTACTTTTTCACTCCGTCGCCCTTGTCTCGGCTAGAAGGTGAAGATCTGGGGCTATTTTCCATAGAAAGTCCTACAGATTTAATGATCTTGAGCTTTGTTGATGTTTTATCTTCACTCTCCACAGGTGTAGCACTATACATTTCACACGACGCACCTCGACTGTTACTTTCTAAACGTTTTCTTTTCTTATGCTCCTTTTCTTTTTTGTCTCGCTTTCTCTTTCCAGGTTCAGTATTTTTTGCTTCTTTCTTTTTCAATTTGTCACTTTTCCCATACTTATTCAAAAAGTGTTTGGCATTTTTTGATTTGTTAAATAAATGTAATCCAGCCGGTGAGGCGGACATCATCTTTAAGTCATTACAATCCTCTTCATCACTGTTGAAGTCATAAGCCTCAGCACTAGATTTTTTATTGTTTATTCCCAACAAGTCGGAATTCTTGATTCCCGAAAGCTTCATTCTCATTTTCCCTTTTGCATTTTTAATTTTCAGCTCCTTATTTGGTAAGACACTATTTTCATTGGGTGAACCAAGCAAAAGAGAGCGTAAATCTTTGTGAACGATCTTATTCTCAGAAGAATCTCCGACATCGACACGTGACACAGAAGAGTTACTCATGGGACTGAAATTTAAAGAATCCGTCACATCAAATGACTTGCTGGAATACAGAGATGTCTGATCTGAAGTGTCACTGTCACTTATGTTTCCTTGTGTGAAACTGGTTGAACGAGAAAAAGATAAATTGCTGCCTAGTTTAAAACTGTCATTAGAGTCTACAGACATTTGCTGCTGGAACTGAGTTCCCCTCCCCACTGAATTCTGTCGTGTCAAAGTCTTCCGTGTCTGAAAAGGAAAGTGAGATTCATTTCCTGTGTTCTGATATTATGTAATCTACATGTCTAATTTTCAAATTTTTAAAATTAATAAACCGAATAACAGGTTTTTCTTCATAGCAGCAAATACATGTACATTTAAGAATCTTGACCCACTAAGCATGTATATACATATAAATGTAGTTTTACATTCAAAAACTTCAATGTACTCTTTTCTTACCATTGTTATCTTCTGTGATTATGAATGAGACCAAATATTACTATTCCAGGAACTCTTTTTACACTTAAATTTATCAACTAGGAATCATATTTATTACACAATTCAATCAGATTAACTACAAAACAAAAAGTTTTGTTTCCTAGCTTCAGAATGAATAAGTTTCAGTAAATAGAGTTGTGGAGGTGATGATGAGGTTTAAGTAGCTGTGTTAGACTAACCTGATGATCTGGTGTCTCAGTACTGTTCTGGAGGTAATGATGAGGTTTAAGTAGCTGTGTTAGACTTACCTGGTGATTTGGTGTCTCGGTGCTGTTTTGGAGGTGATGATGAGGTTTAAGTAGGTCATTTGTCCTTGACGCCTCTCCCGACCTGTTGAGGATGCCCTCAAGAGAGGTAGACCTTGCCATGTTTTTTGGCACAGAAGTCGTTTGATTGAAAATATTGACATCCTGCATTGATTCAAGCTCACTGGATAGATCAGACAAAGGGTCACTAGGGTGATGAGATGTCTTGGATTGAATACTGTCTAATGTGTTCTCCAATCTCCGTAACGGATTCACAGAATCTTCTGTTAGATCAATTGGTGATGACAGTGAGAAATGATGGGAACGTGGTGTTTCTATCCCAGTTTGAAAATCTGAATCAAACGAGCTTATCGAATCAAATGAATGACTCTGAAATTCACTCTCAGTTAACCTGTGCTTGGGACTTTTCCCCCGGGGGGATTCTGTCACTGACTTCCTCTTTGGTGGTCGTCCTCGCCCACTTTTAAGTGGCACAGGCACACTGCTAGCAAGGTTTGCCACATTGTTATTGTTATTATTGGTTAAAGAGGCCTGGTTATGCAGAGGTGCATCCTCCAACAGTTTAGACAACATGGGGCTCTCATTGACTGGGGGAGGGTCTGGATCTGGAGAATCCTGATCTAATAAAGTCACTAACAGAGGATTACTTCCAGGTACATCTGCGTCCACTTTCTTGGAATCTTCCACAGGGGGAGGAGGTAACATTGTCCCCACTGTGGCACTGTTAGGAACAGGGAATCCCCCGAACCCTGGCGGAATCTTAACATTGGGAATTCCCAGGTTTGCTGGACTGGTCAGAGTTTTATTGTCTAGTGATGGCAGATAAGGTGTGGCAAAGGTGACTTCAGCAGGCATCACAAATGGAGGATGGTCAGTCTCCATGGAAACAGGGGAAGGCTCTGGGGAAGGCTCCTTGCGTAGTTGTTCCGAAACTTTGTGAATCACAGATCTCAAGGTCACAGGGATAGACAAGCACCTGAAATGAACATCTGAATCTAGAAATGTTCCTAAACAAGAAAACTGACCAAGTCAGCAAGGGCCCACTAAGGGATGTGCGTCTACAATGATGATAATTGGAGAAAATAAAACTTGATAGAAAAAAATTAAAAAGGAAATTTAAAATACATGAAGAAGAATGGAAACAAAGACTGTAATACAAAATGTAAAGAGTACAGATATTTCCTTTATAACAGAATGATTTTACTATCCAACTAACTTTTTTTAAAAAAATTGATGGTCTATTCAAGATGTACCTACTTAAGGCAATTTTAAAAGAGCTTAATTAAACCTGTATTTGAACCAGAATGAAGAATGCTTTTTAATAAATGCAAGCCTTCATCAAAACCAAAAATCACTTGCAGAAAGAGGTGTTCATTTATAATCTGAATATGACAGATATATTGGATTCCAGGTCTTTTGCAGCAAACATTATACTTAATCCCCGGAATCTCAGGGGTGAAATACCTCAGTTACTAACTGAAGACATACAGAATAAAACTTGGTATTAAACACATTAAAATATGTCTTACTGCCTATAGAAACAATATACCAAACCTCAATTTAAAAAAAAAATTATTAAATTGAAAAAAAAAAAAAAAAAAAAAAACAGAAAATTTATGGATTAACAGAAACAAAGACAGACAGTGTGATTACTAAATGGCACCCCACAAATTCTAGTGGGGCCCTAAAGAAGTTTTAAAATACAAGTACCAATAAATATATGACAGAGCCAACTGTCAAGTTTCAGAAATCCTCTACAAGAAACACAGGGCCATAATGTAAAAGCTTTTAAGATGCCTTTCAAGATAGAAAAATTTACTGCACTGATTTTAATCAGCAAGAAGTTTAGACATATTTACTTTGTCTTAGGAATTAGTTTTCAAACTCTATGTTTTCCATATTTACAAGATCTCAGCTTTCCTACCTCTGGAAAATTTTGGAAGCAGCATCATCTGATAACAAATCTTCTCCTTCTTCAGCGACACTGACCCTGAATTTTACCCCTGTGATGTCAGAAAGGTCAACCTCAGCTGAAACATAAGATTTTAAAAGTATTGAATTTGAAGACTTAAGTTTAGATTAAATATTCAGTTGTACATATAGTAAAAATAATTGTGCATATGGTCAATATAAGATAGAAACATAATAGACTATGTACAGGCCCACTGGAAAGGGGGAGGGGGAAGTATATAATTACAAAAGAAAACTAGAGGCACTGTAAGCACTGAGCTTACAAAATGATTCCTCCTGCTCCCATATGAGTATACTGGCAAAGTCCACTTTTTGTTATGGGAAACCCCAAATAACTGTCTGATTAAACACAAAATAGGAAGTGCAAATTGGCACTATGTAATTAAGACTCTATAAAAGTCTCATTAAATTTTATTAAATGGTATAAGAGGAGTTGTGGATAAGAGATGGGTACCCCCTATATTAAAGAAAGAATGGCAATATCCATTTCTAGTTATCGTAAATCCCAAAAATCTGTCTGATCAGCACATAAAATAGAAGGTGCATAATGGCACTATTAAATAGATTCTGTGAAAGTGTCAATATATGTCAGTGGTATAGGAGGAGTTGTGGATAACAGATGGGTACCCCCAAATGATATAGAAAGAAGGATGTGTCCATGTTTTGCTGCCCTTAACCCCAAATATCTGTCTGATTAAAATGTAAAATAGGTGGTGCATGATTGGACTACGTAATGAAGATTTTGTGAGAGACTCTTTAAATTTTATTCAGTGGTATAGGAGCTGTGGATAAGAAATTACCCCAAGTGTTACGCTTTTCAAGCAGGGGGTATAATGATGCTAACTCACAATTTGAGCCCCACAGTAATTTTCCAAGAATATACTAATGATACGATAGAAAACAAAAACAAATTTACAGCAGTTTCGCTTCTTCAAAATAATGAATGATGACCTTTTTAAGATGAAATTGCTTACTTGATTTATACTGCATCACATAGTCAAAGGGGAATAACTCCTGTTAACCTAGTTGACTTACCAGTTACCATGGTGTCCTGTAGTGGATGTTCAAACATGACACTGAAATGCTGTAGAGAGGTGCAGACTAGCTGAAACACCACTGAGGACAGTAAATCTAAAATAGAATTTGTATGATTAATGGAAAGTCAGGAATGGTACTAATAAAGGACAAAAGCCCCAAAGGCTTTTAAAACAGTCTTCCATGGTAAGAGGCCCATAGGCCTTGAAAATTTATCACGAGATCCTCAACCCTACCATGAAATTGGTCCTTTGATAGAACTCTTTTTTTTAATATCCATAAACTTTTTCTCTTACATGCTGAGGAGTAAAGATATTTAGAAACAATATATTTTAATTACAATCAACTTAGACCCATACTGGAACCTGAGCTCTAGGGATACAATTTTTCAATTTATACTATACAGTGCTAAAAGAGTTTTCATGAGTTGGCAAAAGATGCTAGACTACCAGAAACTGAAAATAAATTTTCAGATCAAAACTTAGAACCTGGTATGACTAAATGTCTGCTAGATACTGTGAAATCCATAATTTTCATGGAGATCATTTTCCTTGTTTTGTTAAAGAGACTCAAAAATTCATATCACCAAAGGTAGAATACAAATGTTAACTATTGTACTGAACTCTCTCAATTTCCACCTACCCTGTTTTGAGTAGTGTTGTACTGTTAAACACTGTTAAACACTGTTAACCCTTCTCCTTTCATAACCTACCCTGTTTAGCCTATTTGAGGTGTATATAACCACTGTGCTGAACCCTTAACCTCTAATAACCTACCCAGTTTTGCATAGGGACGTATACAACTGTTAACACTGCACTGAACTCTTTCCCTCCATTAACCCACCCTGTTTTGCATAGGGTTGTATACAACTGTTAAACACTGTTGAACCCTTCATCTCCAATAACCTACCCTGTTTTGCTTAGGATCGTATACAACTGTTCAACACTGTTGAACCCGTCATCTCCAGTAACCTACCCTGTTTTGCGTAGGGTCGTATTCAACTGTTAAACACTGTTGAACCCTTCATCTCCAGTAACCTACCCTGTTTTGCGTAGGGTCGTATACAACTGCTGACCACTGTGTTGAACAATAACTGTTGGCGTAGCAGGTTCAGTATGTTGGCAACATTTGTTGGGTGCGTAAAGGGTATTCTACTGACCATTCTAGCTGTCTGGTCTAAAGAACTCTCTCCGATATCCGTCAGATAATAAGCATGCTGCTGGTCTGGTAGAGTCTGGAATGTACATTGCAATAATGAAGGTAAAAAAAATCATTAAGAAGATTTCATATTTTCAAAATTGTATGAATGAATAAACAGGCAAATGTATAAATAAATGCAATCTTCAGGTCACTTTTTAAATGTAGATAATCTTAGCAATCTCTTCCATTCAATTTGTATTCAATGCTGTGATATATATTAACTTCTGATATTCAGAATGCATCTAAATTCTGATTACTAAGGTATAAAACACATCTCAATTCTGACCGCTGAGAAATAAAAGAATTCAATTCTGATTATTCAGATATAAAACACATCTCAACTCCAAATGCTGAGATATGACACAATTCCCAATTCTGAGATGAGAACCCACCACATAGAACTCTGAGCCTGGTCTGGCTTTGCCATTGGAGGACTGACTAAGCAGCAACTGTAGTAAAGTATCAGGTGCCCCTTCTGTTATCACATCAATATCTACAAACCAAAGCCAAGTTACAATGTACTTCACAGACATACAAGATACAAAATAACTCATACATCAATATCTACAAACCAAAGCCAAGTTATAGTGCACATCACAGACATACAAGATACAAAATTACTCATGAATGCCACAATTAAAAATAAAGAAACTGACAAAATACCCCCCTCCTCTCATTTAATTTTTCTGAAAGAAAAAATTTCATGGACGATTACAATGATTAGTGATTTAGTAGTGGATTTCGACCTGTGACTTCCTGTATGGCCTGGATTATGGATACAGCTACAGGGATTGGTTTGGCCAGCACCAGAGTAAAACACGCTGGCAGTGATGTACTGTTGACCTGAGATAAGGCTTGGAAAGATGGCAAGCTGTAGAGACAATGTCATCGCGTCAATAACATCAATAACATCAATAACGCCAATAATGTCAATAACATCAATAATGTCATAAACATCAATAAAGTCAATAACGTCAATAACATCAATAACGTCAATAACATCAATAACATCAATAATGTCAATAACGTCAATAACATCAATAACGTCAATAATATCAATAACATCAGTAATGTCAATAATATCAATAAGATCAACAACGTCAATAACATCAATAATATCAATAACATCAATAATGTCAATAGTCAATAATGTCAATAACATCAATAATGTCAATAATCAATAATGTCAATAACATCAATAATGTCAATCACATCAATAATGTCAATCACATCAATAACGTCAATAATATGAATAAGGTCAATAATATCAATAACGTCAATAATATCAATAAGATCAACAACGTCAATAACATCAATAATCTCAATAACATCAATAATCTCAATAACATCAATAATCTCAATAACATCAATAACGTCAATAACATCAATAATGTCAATAATCAATAATGTCAATAACATCAATAACGTCAAATACTTCAATAACATCAATAAGGTCAATAAGGACAATAACATCAATCACATCAATAACATCAATAAAGTCAATAATCAATAATGTCAATAACATCAATAACGTCAAATACTTCAATAACATCAATAAGGTCAATAAGGTCAATAACATCAATAAGGTCAATAATATCTATAATGTCAATAATATCAACAATGTCAATAGCACCAATAATGTCAATAACATTAATAAGGTCAATAAGGACAATAACATCAATCACATCAATAACATCAATGAAGTCAATAACATCAATAAGGTCAGTAACGTCAATAACATCAATCAATACTACTGGTTCTTTGGGATACAATTCTAAATTCTTATTCCATATTAGATGTTACAATAGCATGAATTCCTACATAATAACAAGGCAAAGATTTCAACATTTTGGTTAAAATTTCAATTAATCACAAAAATTTTATACACAGCTTGACAAAAACTATTTCTGTGAAATTTGAACACTGCCCTTAGTTTGACCCTGTAATAAGGAGTAACTTAGTAAGACCCTGTACCTTTTGCCATCCTGCTGTATGACAGACATTAATGGTATCGTCTGTAGTCGTCGATGAGGATGCTGTTCTATACACACTGTAACACTCTGTCCCAAACCATTCTCTGTTATGGCTGAAATCAACAGGTTTATAATTACTACATGGAATTCATACATTTAAAATAATTTACTCCTCAAGTCCTTCAGGGACTTAAATCACCTAATATGTTGCTAGTTCAGCGATTGTTGGATTTTTATAATAAAATTACAGTCAAACCTGGTTATTCTGAACTTATGGAACTGATGAAAAACTTCAAGATATTCAAGGGTTTGACATATCAAGGGTACGATACATACAGAAAAATGGTTAAGACCTGCAAATGACTTCAACATATCCATGTTTTTCGACATCTCCTTGTTTGAGATACTAAAACCGTAGTTCAACTGTACATCCCATATAAAATTGCTAATGTTTCTTTAAGTAAAAACTGAGCTTTTCTTGAAATTGTTTGTAGAGTAAAGCTTCTTTAGTACAAACACACAGCAAATTTCCAGATATAGTGAAGTTTATTTAGATCCCCAACAGAATTCTTACCATTTACTTGTAATCGAAGACTGTTAAGCATATATTATCCCAGTTTCCAACTTTCTTTAATGTCCCTAGCATACCCAACAAACTTAACAATGATTCCTTTTGTTTACATTTATCAACAAAAATGTAAATATAAATCAAAAATGTTGTCTAATAGAATTAAAATACATAAAACAACATCCCCCGACACACTTAGCTTTCAAATAGATATCAAAGAGAAAACATGATCATTAGTGCAAGATGAAATTAGATCACCCAGAGAAAAACCCATAATGGTCAAGCAACTTTCTCAAATATGGCTTCCAAACCCAGTCCACTTTACCACTTTAACCTTTACAAAACCCAATTCAAACTAGATTTTACATTCCATAAAAGACATCCAGATAGCATTTTATTTACAAACCTTCTACAGTCATTGGATATGGCGACCTAGACTTCTTGTTCAGCAAATCATAGGGAGATACATAGTATACAAGCTTCATTGGGCAGCCTAAAAGACAAAAACAAATTTAAATACAGGCAATTTAAGAACACAAAATATCTCCCTATTTAATTTACTAACACAGTAGGGATGGCAATCAAATACAGAATTGCTAATCAGTTATCTGAGGACAGTCTTAGTTTTGGAAGCAATAATAAATCAACAAAATCTATTTCAAGTATGAAATCGACAAGGTAACAAATACAAACAAGATTATATATTGGAAAGCTATGCTCATTTTTCCTTGTTTGATGCATATTGTTATCTCTTAACTTAGTGATGAGAATTTCAACATTCAGTATCGACCAGTTAAACAACAGCTTACCTCCTTTCCTTGGCAATAGGATTCCTAAGGGAGACTTGTGGATGCAGTTTGACACACCTTTGATGGAACTGAAACAACAGAAGTCGTAAATACTTGAAAGATGAATTCAATCACAAAATACAAACATTTTGAATGATTTCTCTGAATGCAACTTCAGTTTAAACAGGACTTATCCAATCACATGGGGGAGGGGGGGGGGGGGGGGGGGGCTGTAATTTATACTAACCTCAGGATGCTTCCATATCAATATTACTAATCATAGCTTTGCTATACTTAGCCAGAAGAATTTTAAATGCATAAAGGTTCCAATTTTTTTTTAGATAAAATTTAACTTTGTCCCCCTCAGATATAAGTCACCAGAACTTTATATGTTATAAAATTGGTCTCAACCTACTTTTAGCTAGTGCAAATTGGGTGAAAGCTTTAGCTACTGGGCTTTAGTAAAATAACAGGTGACAAAATTTTTAACACAGTGAAAGACTCAGACGTTTAATTTTCCCACCATCTTACCTCTGTAGCTGGGCCAAACCATTCAGGTCTGTCTCCAGTGCTTGGAGAGCTAGAAACAATTTGGATTTCTGCTTCCTACAAATAAATTAACATTATCCTTTATATAATAATCAATGCAGTAATTTTTGAATCTACTGTCTATGTAAATCTAAATTAAACATTTAAAAACATTATATTAACAAACTGTTGTTTTATTGTTTTGTTTGAGGCTTTTTTTTACCTATCTCCTGGTACATTATATATATTCTGTAATCCTTTCAGGTGAACAATAAATTCTTCAAAATTTCCTTGTCTGAAAAGAAAAGGGGTAAAATTTAGATTTTGGGGAACAAGCTAGATAACTTACTAACTAGTCAGCAAGGACCCCACTGAGGAAAATATATCTAAGAATGGGTTGGAGGGATGTTATTGTGATAATCTGCTAAAAAAAAACAAAAATACATAGAAAACACACAAGAGGCCCATGGGCCACAGCGCTCACCTGAGTAACTTTGGCCTTGCTGTTTTTCACCTGATTCCTCCCCCCCTGTAGTTCTTATTGTGGCCCAGCCCTACCCCTAGGGGTCATGATTTGAACCATTTAAAATCTACACTACCCCAGGATGCTTCCACATAAGTTTCAGCTTTTCTGGCCCAGTGGTTCTTGAGAAGAAGATTTTTAATAATTTTTCCTATATATTTCAATGTAAAACTTGGATTCCCTATTGTGGCCCCGCCCTACCCCGTGGGTCATGACTTGAACAATTTAGAATTTACACAACCCCAGGATGCTTCCACATAAGTTTCAGTTTTTCTGGCCTAGTGGTTCTTGAGAAGTAGATTTTTAAAGATTTTTACTACATATTTCAATGTAAAACTTGGATTCCCTATTGTGGCCCTGCCCTACCCCCAGGGGTCATGATTTGAACAATTTAGAATCTACACTACCCCAGGATGCTTCCACATAAGTCTCAGCTTTTCTGGCCAAGTGGTTCTTGAGAAGAAGATTTTTAAAGATTTTTCCTATATATTTCAATGTAAAACTTGGATTCCCTATTGTGGCCCCGCCCTATCCCTGGGGTCAGGACTTGAACAATTTAGAATCTACACTACCCCAGGATGCTTCCACATAAGTTTCAGCTTTTCTGGCCCAGTGGTTCTTGAGAAGAAGATTTTCAAAAAAATTTACTACATATTTCAATGTAAAACTTGGATTCCCTATTGTGGCCCCGCCCTACCCCCGGGGGTCAGGACTTGAACAATTTAGAATCTACATTACCCCAGGATGCTTCCACATAAGTTTCAGCTTTTCTGGCCCAGTGGTTCTTGAGAAGAAGATTTTTTAATGAGCCCACCCAATTTTTGTATTTTCTTGATTATCTCCCCTTTGAAGGGGACTTGGCCCTTCATTTTAACAATTTAAACTCCCCTTCACCCAAGGATGCTTTGTATCAAGTTTGTTTAAAATTGGCCCAGTGGTTCTTGAGAAGAAGTCGAAAATGTGAAAAGTTTACAAACGGACGGACAGACGGACGGACGGACGACAGACAATGGGTGATCAAAAAAGCTCACTTGAGCTTTCAGCTCAGGTGAGCTAACAAGATCTTTCAAGGCCCTGCAGTACTCTTCTAACAGTAAATTTGACCTTTGGACTTTGACCTTTGAGTCTCAGAATACATATGATAGAGGTCATTTTTAAATTGTAGAGTGAATAAGAAATCTGCATGTTAAAATAATACTTTTGTAACACAAATTTTTTATCTTTAAGATTTATTAGAGGCCACAAAAAACAAAATTACTGTACTCTATGAAAAAAAAGACTCAATTCAAGTCATCATTAAGAGTTACCTGTATTTAGATATTTGTAATTATCCTTAAAAAAAAAAAACAAAGACAGTTATAGGAAATTATAACAAAATAGCTATCAAGCTGTTGTTGTTAACCTAGGCTTTCCTTATAATTTTTAGTGAATTACTAATTACTATCGGTGAATAGGAAACAAGATATTCAAGTAAGTATTATTTAATATATGACTGATATATCCACTATTTCCACTATGGCTTAATATTCGCAGAAAATTCTTAAAATAGTGTACATAGCAGAATTAAGACCATCGTAATGTTTTCCACTTTTACAGTATTCAAGCCATGTTTTCTTATAACCAATCTTCTGTTATGTAATAAATAAAATGATACCAAGTTTAAAAACTAGAGATAGTCCACTGGACGTCACATGTATGCAATTGGTAATGCAACATTTAAAGAAATGTACCTTGCTTCAACAATCCAAGGTAATACAGTACAATTCGTTTTTTATCATACCGGTTTTATATCATACTTCTTTTTTTATCATAGATATCTGAAACACAAAACCATTTCTTAATAATTCATTATAAATTTCATCTGTTATTATCATAGGTAAAAGTATACACTTCGCTTACTATAATAAAAAATTTCCGTCCGTATTATTTTTTTCACACCTTTTCACTCTTGGGACAATCAACAAAACAAAAGATAACACCTATCTACACCTGTGATTCATGCACTGTCGCTTGTCTATACACAATGGCTTGATTTTCACTTTGAAATTTGCCGATAGTGAAAGACTGGGGAGATTAGTCACACTTCAGTGCACTTACCTGAGCGATTGACAGGGAGCCTGTTTATTTCATGAAGTACATGACAGGATAACACGAACTCTTTTTTTTCATAACTTATTTTCTACTTATGTTAATCCTGAATTGTACGTTCGTAATAAATACGTTTTACCAAATGTGTTGAAACTAAATTTAGTGTCAATATTAACCCAAGCTTTCTTACGCTTGGTGTCTGGATCAATGTTCATAGTTAATTACATTTACAAAACTACCCGATTAATTAAGAAATAATTAAGTGAAATTAACTCTTTCACCAGTCTGTCCAAGCGGCTTTGAATGCATATGCTCATCAGTGTATCAATTAATTTTAATTATACGGCGACATTAAGTGTAAATAGGTAATTTTTTTATGTCTACTTTGGATGAATAAAAGAAACAATTTGAATGCATGCTTTGTTGCTGTGTTAATTTATTTAATATGTGACCAAAAAAAAAAAAAAAAACGAAACGAAACATTGGTAATTTGAATTGACCATAAATTGAAAATGAAAGTAGATCAAAATAAACAAGATGGATGCCAAGGGATCTAGAAGATTGAGTTTGAAGAGTATTAAGCTTTATTTAAGTGAATTTATTTATAATAAAAAGTTGAAACAGTAAGTAAATATTGTGAAATGATATGTCAGTTAACTTGTATTTCAAATATACTTAAAAAATCGAAATTATATGTAATGTAAGATGTATAATACATCCAATAATTTACACAAACGTCGTATCGTTAGCCGTCCGACATGAATTTCAGCCGACTATGGTTATTATAAAAGTCGCTTATTATAAAGTTTTGGCCTGACAAATAAATTATGATAATAAACGAATTGTACTGTAGTACATTAGACACAATTTTCTATTTTTATATACAGAAATGATATGTTGTTGACTTTGGTGTAACAGTAGGTAGTATTCATTTATACTATCTATTTTACTACTTATTGATATTAAAAGTTCATTTTCTCTATAGGTAGCAAAATTATGTATCTCTTACATAAGTATGGTTGACATTCTCTCAAAGAGATTTTTTCTATGTGTGAGGCTGTGTGAAGTAGTCCTTAATGAAAATCAATGACATGAACCAAGAGCAAACTGAGGGAAGAAGTGAAATTCAAGTTCAAAAGGAAAATCCAGGTCAGATAATTACGATACAATTGAATGCTCTCATGGATTTATATTTGGAACTAGGTTAATGTAAAATGGGGAATAAAGAGGTCAAGGTTGTAGAAAAAGTCGAAGTCAGAAAATTATGATACAGCTGAAATATATTAGAATAATTTTTTTTAAGGAAATAACTTCTGAAGTTTCTTTGTAACTGAGCTAATGCAGTGTGAGGGACAGACCTGGGAGAAGAAGGATTCAGGTACAGAACTTGCGATATATCTCCAATTTACCACTAAATATGAAGTAGGTCCACGTTATTGCATCAGAATAGTTATGTTAATAAACACGACTTCTGACATTGATTTTTGACCATGTGACCACATGAAAAAGTTTTATAAGAAAAAATCTGCATTTTCTTTTTTCATTAACAATTTAACTTTTGACCAAGTGATCACGTAAACAAGTTTTCAAATTTAGAAAGAATTGCATTTTGTTTTCAATCAAAATTTTAATTTTCAATTTAGTGACTACTCAAACAAGTTTAAACCCTACAAAAACAAGAGATGTTTGTGAAACACTTATGACAACCCCCCTCCCCCCCCCCCCCCCCCTTGGACATACATTATAAGGTGCACAAACCTTTATTATGGGCAGTATACATTATGGGCAGTGTACATGAAAATGAAATTGACCTTTTGAACTTAAAATCAATAGGGGTCATCTTCCAATACTATCTGAGATGCTTCAACCAGAAATAGTCATCTACATTACATCTTTGGCAAAAACACATTTCTCATGATATATCAGTAACTAATTTGTTCAACCTTTGCAGAGATAATAAACAGAAAGTAAATAATTGGAATTTTTCTAAGTTCAAGGGTCATAACTCTGTCAAAAATTGCTTGATAGTACCCAAAACAGAATATGACCTAGATATTCTTATGATAAATCTGTATACCAAATTTCATTTCAGTATATGCAACCTCTGCAAAGAAAATGAACGGGAACTGTTGGTGGACCGACAGACAGACAGACTGATTGACAGACAGCAGCAAAGCAATATGCCCTCCCTTCTTCGAAGGGGGGCATAAAAATTCAATTCCTTCTTCTGATGTAAAATTTTGCAAAAAGAAAAAAAATGGTAAGTATTTTGATGAACTTACCTCAAAACTTCTAAAATTTCATCACAGCTCTGAAAAATAAGAGACATTCAATATTAAATAATATTAAGTTCATCAAAAGATGCTTATTTAACAACTTCTTAAAAAAGACACTATAATGTAGAGCATTGTAATCATAACGACTCAATATTAGATTAAATTAAGTTCATCAAAAGATTCTTATTTAACAACTTCTTAAAAAAGACACTAAAATGTAGAGCATTGTAATTATAACCATTATGACCCCGACATCCACACGTTTACAATCAGCGATATTTTTACTCATAGCCATTTTTTCATGACATGGCATTTAAACACAATCCAATTTCCTTTTGACAACTTACAGGTCAACCAATTCAGAATTTACCAAGATATATACAGCTGAACTTCAGTTATCTCGAATACCCTGGATATGTCGAAGTGATTTGAAAGTCCCAACCACTTATTCTTTAAGTATTTTACCCTCGATATCTTGAATCCTTGGATATCTCAAAGTTTTTTCTTGGTCCCATCGAGTTCGAGATAATAAGGTTTAACTGTATATATAAGTCAAATTCTTTTTTCATATCTATGGTAGAATGATCGCCCAATTAAAGATGTTGACATTTATGTCAAACTTGAGACAATTCTTGTAAATGATAATCATGTAATAATTAAATATACATACGCTAGGTTCTCCCTGGTGACTAACACGAACATCTTTGACAAGGCCTCCGGGATCAAAAATGATTTCAATTCGGAACATTTCGTTGCTGATAATGGCACTCTTTTCCGAAGAAGCAGGAATGGTGAACATTAGGCCGACCTGTCTGGCGGACGCTTCCAGTCGTTCTAGAAGAGTCTGCTGACTGACCACTAAAACACAAAATACTCACATCTTACTATTTTTAACATATGCTTGGAATCTTCTTGTAGTAAATTACCTGACAGATGGTCAGAGAGGATAAAAACATTACCTCTCAATCTTTGATATTGGGGCATAAAAATACATTATAATTACAGACTGTGAAATGATGTGCAGTGATATTACATAACAATTTTATCCCTGATGAATGTACTATCAAGCTTATTAAAGGTGAGAAGCTTTAAGCTTGATTAATTAGCATGTCTCAAGCTCAAGCTCCTTTTATTTAAATCTTTGTCTGTAGAGGCTGCCTTATACCCAGTTTTATGTTTCTCAGCTGAGAGATGGAGACTTTACACTGATTTATCCCCAATTCATCAAATTAAACCTAAACTTAAGAAGTACAGTTTTTAGAAGACTAAGACAATACAAATCAGTACTGTCAAGCACATTACAACATGCTGAGATTTAAACAAGCGGCCCTTTGATTAAAAGTTTAACCCAATGGACAATGATTTCATTAGGATAAATCTAGTCTTTCATAATTACAATTTTTTTTTTTAAAGTTTTTACAACTTACCCTCACTGTTTAATATGTAATTATAGTGTACAATCACTTATTTTCATGGCGTCAAACTTTTCAGGGGAAAATATTGGTTCATGGGGATTTCATGGTTGAATACAGAAGCATGATACTCTAAGTTTGAAAATGTATCATTTCTTGGAGGACATTAATTTATCAATCTCTTCATACAAAAAAAAAAAAAAAAAAAAAAAAAAAAACAGCAAAATTAAACCCCAACATAATTTAGTGATTTCACTGTAAATGACAAACCTTTGATGCAGCTTTGAAGCCTGTCCAAACATGACCGTATTGTAGTGACATCCTTTTCTTCAACCATCATTTTCTTGTCCTACAAAACAAATACTAAAAATGATGTCAGCCTATAGAATTTTACGACAACAATGAAGATGGACTGCATGAGAGAGAATCAGCATCGCTTTGATGTGTTTAAGAACTGGAGCTTCTGTGAGTTTTTTTTTTCCAATTGACCTACATGCTGAACTGAACACAGATGCAAATTGTTTACCTAGAGCATTGTACAATAACATGTCTTTATGATTAATGTTTTATTTCAGACCTTCATACTTTACTGTATATAGCATCTACGCAGGTGTTATCTTGATATTGATCACATTTCAACATTCTCAGTATTTAGTTTTATTTTATTCAGAAGATCCCCATAATGAGCCAAAGGAAACAGATACAAGTTCTAAATATGACAACCAAGAAATAATACCTTTCCAAATCAACTGGTGGATGTAGATAGCATGAATGATGGTATTTTTTGTCTTAATCTTTTAAAAAAAACCATCTAAGAATGGAAGTTATTTAATTGTCAACCAGAATATTAAAATATAACTTGTGAAATTACAATGTTACACTTTAGCTTGTCTTACAGGGATTTATCAGCCTATTTTAGGAAATGCCATTTTTAAGGAATTGGGAAAAAATTATCAGCTTTTTGATGAAATTGGGAAAAATAAAAATCTTGCTTAAATATTCAGGGGTAATTCATTTAACATTTTAGCATGAACTCTAATTTTGGCAACCAAGCAGACAATTAAATATGATCCAACTTCATCACACAAGATCAATTTATATAATAATAATGAATAATAGACTAATAAAACTAAATTTGATTTAAATGGGTATAAAGTATTTTTTACAACTTAGGATAGTACATGTGTGTATGAGATTCCAATTTAGGTGATTAGAATCTGTTTTTGAAGATTAATCAGATAATAAACCTCCTGCAAAAAATTATACTACATGTATTTAGTACACATTTTCTCTAAGTCCCCTTTTAATATGTAAAATTGCATTGAAAATATATTTTTCCATCTGAAATATATGTCTACAGTTCTTACCATTCACTCGTAAATCAATTGAGTAGGTGGAAACAACTTAATAATTCTATATTATTACACCATATCATCGTTTCCAGAAAAACAGAGGAAATTCGGATTAAAAATCAGCGATGTTTACTAACAGTGTTTTTCAACGTGTTATGACTCTAGCTTTGCTAAATGAGATAACTAGAGGAAAATTACAGACAATCTGACAAATTTACTGAGATTTTTCCACGATAATTAAATATAAAAGCATTGTTCACCAATTGTGAAAAAATACTGCCAAATTGGGAAAAATTGAAGTCATTTTCAATTGGTGTTGGGGCCGAATTTCGGCCCCTGAGAAGGTACTGATAAATCCCTGTCTTATCTGGATGTCAAAAGGTAACTTGTACAATAATGTGGATGTCATTGGGTAAACTGGTCTAATCTGAATGTCAAAAGGTAAATTATTTAATCTGGTTTACAAAAAGGTAATTTGTCTAATCC